CCTCTAGCCCACGCCTGCCAGCCGCTTGGGCCCTCACTATGTCCTCGGTGCTGAAGGTCAAACTGTCGAATGCCAACGGAGGCACCATACGGGCCGGCTTCGTGCTGACCACGGCCTGGTGCTCGTGGTTACACAGAAACGTCGCCGTGAGAGCGCGTGAGCCTTACCACAGGCTTTCCTGAGCTCACGGTGGTGCACGGCTGCGGGCCAGCAGGTGGTGTGGTGGGGCAGGCGCTGGGCACCACCGTGGCGGCCCCTGGTTCGAGCCGCAGATAGGTGGTCTGAAAACCACACTGGGTGTGTGTGCCCACACTCGAGAGGACAAGGGGACCGCCCCGGAGGGATTCCTCACTTTTCCTCTGTCTCTCTTTACAGTGAGTACATGTGCCCCATGTAAAAACTTAAAAACAAACAAACAAACAACTTGTGCAGAAACGAAACGAAAATTCTTAAGCTGGAATTTGTGTGTCTAACGTAAGACAGATTCGAATCTAACTTCGATGGTCCCGAGTTACTCCCAGAACCGGAATCCCCGGTAGGATTCCGACAGGGCATGCAGGTGACTGCTGGCCAAGCTCTGGCAAAGGGGGGCACGACCCGTGAAGCACCCCCGCCCCGGCACCACGCCGAGCAGCAGCAGAGACCAGCACGCTGGCCGTGCTGGGCCCTGGGCAGGCAAGACCTTGCCGCCCGACAGTCCCGGGCCTGTTTCCTCGTCCATAGAAACCGGGGGTCTGTCCATCGTGAAGCTGCAAAGCTTCCGTAAGGTCATACCCCATAAGGGCTCTGAGGCCGGGCTCTGTTTCCACTCTTGGTATGTGAGTATTCCCACCGCAATATCCTGAAGAACCAGGGCGCCTCCTGTCCCCCGTCCCCACTGCACCCCAGTACAGGACGGCCCTGGTTTTCAGAGGTCAGTGAGGAATGGCCCAAGGTGGTGACGTGGGTCACTCTGTGGCCTGCCTTTGCACCCAGACGAACGGGAAGGAGGGTCAGTGGCCGCAGCATGTCCCATGGGGCCAGGACTCCCCGAGAAGCTGGTCTCGCGCTACCCCTCCCCTCAGGGCAGACTGCAGCACGGGCCCCTGCAGGTCTGGCCGGCACGCGGGAGGTGGCCCTGCGGTGGCGATCAGGAGGGTGCACGTGCACATGTGGCATGACGGGGTGGGGCAGAATGACCTGGCGCTGCTAGAGCTGGCCGGGCCCCAGGGCTCCCCGTCTGCACGCCCGAGAAGGACTCCGCCAAGCACGTCCCCGTCCCCGCAGCTGGGGGCCTCGGTGGCTGGCCGCTCAACGCCCCCGACCTGAGCGACTCCCTGATGGATGCTGGTCACGCGTGTGGACGCGGAGGAGTGTGCCCGGATGCTGAATGCGACCGTCACTAGGACTGGCTGTGAGGGGGCGGCCGGGCAGCCAGGCCCGTGGTGGTCAGGGAGCCCGAGGTCCGCACGCACGGCCCCCAGGAGGGTGCGCACACGCCTTCCTCACCCAGGTGTCCAGGTGCTCACTGTGGTTTAGGCAGGTCATCGAGGAACGGAGACCCCAGCCGGCAAGAGCGAGTGGGGCGGTGGCAGCCGCGGGGGGAGGGGGAGTGA